TGATATTAACACAAATATTGTGATTGATTCATACGATGTTATAAAAGATATTCTTTATAAAATCTTCAGAGCATCCATTTCACAAGGGTCTTTTCCAGATAAACTAAAAATAGCGAAAGTAACTCCAATCTTCAAGACAGGGGATCGTACAAATATAACAAATTATCGCCCTATTTCAGTTCTTCCAGTTTTTTCAAAAATTTTAGAAAGAATAATGTACAACCGAATCTACTCTTATCTTGTTGAAAATAAAATTCTATACGAAAACCAATTTGGTTTTAAAAAAAATAATTCAATTGAGCATGCCATTCTTCAACTTACGCGCAATATAACCGACTCATTTAAAGACTCTTGTTTTACACTAGGAGTGTTTATTGATTTGTCCAAGGCATTTGATACCGTCAATCATCAAATCCTGTTAAAAAAACTAATATCATATGGTATTAAAGATAAAACCCTATTATGGTTTGAAAGCTATCTTACTAACCGTAAACAGTTTGTTTACAATAAAGATTCTATATCTCATCTATTAATGAATATAACATGTGGTGTTCCACAAGGTCCATACTTGGTCCTCTTATTTTTTTAATATACATAAATGATCTTCATAAATTATCAAATTTAACAACAATAAATTTTGCAGATGACACAAATTAGTTTTTGTCTCATAAAGATATTAATATGCTTTTTACAAATATGACAAATGAATTAAAAAAAGTTTCTGTTTGGTTTAAACAAAATAGATTGTCTCTAAATATAGAAAAAACTAAATGGACACTTTTTTATCCACCTTTAAAATACCAGAAACTGTCCCATATCATGCCAGACCTTCTAATTGATAATATAATAATAAAAAGAGAAAAAGTTACTAAATTTCTTGGAGTATATATTGATGAAAACCTATCTTGGAGAAATGATATTGATAATACCTCCAACAAAATTGCTAAATGCATCGGAATTCTCTATAAAGCAAGAAATATACTAAGTAAACACCAGTTAACACAATTATATTATACATTTATACATTGTCATATAAACTACGCGAATATTATATGGGGAAGCACTCACAGAACAAAGCTAAAATCTCTTTACCTTCATCAGAAACACGCAACTCGCGTAATAAATTTTAAAAATCGGTTTTTTCACACGAAACAACTTTTTAAAGAAATAAATATTTTAAATGTATATCAACTAAATGTCTTTAATATTTTATGTTTCATGTTTAAATGTAGAGAAAATTTGTCGCCAAATGTATTACAAAATTTTTATTGTATGAAACCTAAAAGCAAATATAATTTTCGAATTAATAACAGTCTTATTGCCCCTTTTTGTCGTAAAAGCAAAGACCAGTTTTTTGTTTCTTACCGAGGTCCTTATCTCTGGAACAAAATAGTCTTACCAAATTTTGATTTTTCAACCCAAATGACTTTTGCTTCATTCAAACAGAAACTTAAAAAAATTATATTTTTAATTGAAAATATCTTGATTTATTTTTAATTGCCTTTTTTTTTTTGTTTTGTTTTTGTTGTTGTTTTATTTTGTACATTATTTGGTTTAAAATTTTATATTGACTTTTTAACATTTTATCTTGGTTTTTAAATATTTTTGCATAGAGGTGTATTATTATTTCACTACAGACATTGTATTTTTATTAAAAGTTAACCATATATTGTAAAGGGCTTCATGACAAGATCCTCATGATCTTCTAGAAGTCCTGTCGTTACTAATGTAAAAAATTGTAAAATATATTTAGTTATAATATTAAGTTATTTAGTTGTAATATTAAACGGCAAAAATAAAAAAATAAAAAAAATAAAAAAACCTATTAACCGTAATAAATAGCATAATGCTAAAATATGTTTATATTATAAAATATGCATGGAATAAAAAAACTTTTGTCAAAATATATAAACAAAATCTATCCATAGCTTTGAATAACTTGCATGAAGTAAAAATCGAACCAGAGTTACTGCAAACATGCAAACAAATTAAAAATCTGCTCAAGTAGCAGTTAAACAGTGCTTTTAACACGTTACCTGTAAGTATTCTAAATTGTGGTCGACAACAAAACTAAAAAAATGAAAAAAAATATATTTAGTTTAACCGTAAACAATCAAAATATAATAAAACACAAGAATGCATAGAATACAAATACATCCTAACACGTAAAAACTTTCGTAAAGCGGCAAAGGCAGCCTAAACCAAAAAGGTCCATGAAAAAAAAAAACTATTGAAAATCTAAGAACTACAAATTTAGATCATGAATGAATTCTAGACAGTTTGACTTTAATCAAAGATAGATATAATCTTGTTGATTTTTAAAACAGAATATAGTATTTTGCATCCCCTTATTTTAAAGAAAGCAACTGAAGGTCCCACAGAACTATAAAAGTTTTTCTAGACTTTGGGGCTCTAAATGTTTTACAATCAGAAAATGGAAACAAATTTACATGTTAAGTTGTTTAAGAATTAGGGTTGTTGTTGTGGAAAATTTACTATTAGTGAATAGCAGAGTACGATATCCTCAAAACAAGTTTCAGTTGAGCAAAGCAAGTTAAATTTCAAAAAGTTGTTAATTGCATTGGATGAGAGACAATAAAACAACTATATTGAGTTTTGGATTACGCATTGTTTAACGGAGAACGAATACTATTTACAATGAAACTATTAAAATGAATGCATATAGTGTTGTGTTTACTCAGAAATCTAGAATGACATTACCTTCATTGGTTCCTCAAGAATTTTTAATAAAAATTAATAATTGAGTTTTTGAAAAAGATATAAAATTCTTGTTAGAAAAGGAAGAAAAAACTAATAGATTTGAATAAAATCACAACATGCCATTATTTAATGTAAATAGTGAAGATTTTGTTTTTAAAGAAGAGATGGCTCGTGAAAAATATATAATGGAAGATCATGACATAACAGTATTACTATGTTATTAGTATTGTTACGTTGTTGTTAGTGTAGATGCTATTTCATCATTATGCGATTTATCACCGAATAACGAACTAGCTATTATAAAAACAATCAAGATTTTAAATGTCTTGGAAATGAGATAAATAGTTTGGGTAAATATTTTGTATAAGTATTAGTAACAGTGTTAAAGCTTATTTTAATGGTACGAGAGTAACTCGGTGCCAAGTATTGCAGCTTCAATCTACCCAGAAAATAGATATAGAGAATGGTTTGTTTAATTGTACTCAGGCAAAGAAAATGGTTAAAAGATTGAATTAAAAGTTAGATTCTTTGAAAAAAGGTGATAATATGCTTTCTAGCATTAGCCACTTTGATCATGGACGTGCAGATCCAGGTAATATAATAGGGGCAATTATTGATGAACAAGAGAGAAAACAAAAATTTGGTACAAAACATGGAATATTAAAATCTTTGTTGGAACGTATAAGTATTTAATCCATCAATCCATCAGTTAACTGTTGATAATGTTCTTAAAAAAAATTAGTTTGCGAGAGTAAGTACGGTTAGACTAACAAATTCCGCTTTTGTTTAAAGTTATTGCAACCAATTGAAACTGAGTTTTACGCTCATTCAAGTTTTGTTATTTAAAGTGTTTTTATTTGTATCATTATCCCATTGGATACCTAGATGTTTTAATTTCTTTTGAAGATATATTCTTTTCTTAAAAAACTCTTGACAGAGGCTAATCTTATATTACTGTAATTTTCAGCAACTTTTTTGTGTTTTTTTTTTTGTACTTTTATGGCCACAAGAAGTATACACGTTGCGGATTATAGTCTTAATATTATTTACTGTTGCCGTAGTTCGTCCGTCTGTTACTCTTGCAACTTTTGTCATTTCATTAAAAATAACGAGTTTAAATGTATTTTTCATATAATAGTACTTTCGTCATTTTAGTTCCATTTTATGATTCTTTACTTCAGACAACATTTTTTAGTTTAAACTTTAAACAATTTTAAGAATTGCCGGATAATAAGGAACTTTTGGAAAAAGGGGTCGTCCATAAAGTACGTACGCCAAATATTTTGAAATTCAACACCCCTCTTTTACCCGCCCCCTTTCCTCCCTTGTTGTCATGTGTATATTTAAGTCCCCACCCCCTTCAAAAAGTAAGTACGTTTTTCATATAACTTTTCATATAACCCCAAACTTTTTTTTTTCAATAAAAAATTTTCAATAAAAATGTTTATTGAATAAAAAAAAGGTGAAGGAGGTACCTTAGATATTTTATACTACCCCAAAGCCCGTTTTTTGCGGTGCTGGATCCTAATTTAAAAAATGTCTTCACATATATATACAAACAATAGTTTTAATAAAGTTAAATTAGAGGGTGTGAATGTTTTCGCTTGGCCGAGAGGTTAATGTTATAAACTTGTTATGGATCGGAGTTCGAATTCCGGTTGAGTCTATTTTTTTGTTTTTTTTGTTTTAGTATATATACAAAATTATAAAAATGTTATAAAACTATTTAAAAGCTTGTGGTCACGCTCTCAATTTTTCTTCTTTTTCAGTGTTGTTGGTGTGTAATATTTTTCATATTTATTTGAGTATTTCGTATGCGAGAATATTAAATTTCATATACACTTCATTTGAATTAATTTTAATTGTTTTATTTACTGATGCATGACATTGTTCCACGACGGTTGTCGTTTTTGTCGATTTTTGAGGTTGCTTTTTAAGCTTTAATTTCTTTTAAAGTGAAAACTTTAATATTTTGTTACTTGCCGTTTGAAATATTTTAAATAGTTTAGTTTATTTACTTTTTTGACTTTATTTTTAAGTTATTTATTAGTTATTATATTAAGAAAGCAAAAAACCAGAACTTTTATTAAGTTTATGGTAAACATTTTTATCTTACTTAAAAGAGGTTTTTAAACCAAAAAAAAACGCTCAAAAAAACGCCAATCGTGTCCTAAAAATAAAACAACTTGTTTTCACCTTCATTTGCTTACTCTGAATTATTGATGCGGAAATAAAACGCAGAATGCCGCAAACGCAACTTTATTAATCAATATCTTATGGCAAAGTAGTATCAATATTCTCTCTCATGAATTTTGCAGAACATAAAAATATCCTGATTTTTTCAAGTTTTTTTATATTTAACTTCTTATGCTCTACCACGGATTTATATGCTCAATACTAAAGAATTTCTCGTTTTAAAAGTTTATTCGTATTGGTATCTTAAAATTAGTAATGAGATAATTACCTTGCTAAATTTTTTTTTTTTTTAATGTTACAATTGCAAGAAAGTTTAAATTTTTTTTTACTCATTTATAAATCTTATGTGGTACTTATTATTTATTTAGATCGTATTAAAGTATTACGGCAATGCTCGTGTGTTCAATTTGTACATAATGACATTTAGGGAAGTATATCAAGTGACTTTGCTGGTTTTCTTTGTAACAAATGTTTTCGCCTGTCCGTAAGTTACCGTTTTTAAATTTATTTTCATTAGCCCATAAGTAATGATTTCGTCTGCCGTAGTATACCTATTTTTTTTTTATTAATTCTTTTAATACCAAACATTTTTTATATCAAATTTATTTAATACCAAATGTTTCACCTGTCCTTAAATTGCTTTTTGTACGTATTATTTAACAAAGCCTTTATTAATTTTTTTTTTTTTTTTTGTCTTTTTAAATTTTTATTAGAGACTCGGCAATTCCTTACGAAGATATAGCAGATGCTCTGCAAACTTCAAAAGCAGTTTATGATGACAAGCTTAGCATCAATTCACTTGTCCCTTACACTTCCTTTCATATCAAAAAAGTTTATCTGGTAATTAAAATTATTGAATTAATTACCGCAAAGCGGGGTTTTTATTGTAAAAGTACAACTTTTGTGAATAAATAAGATGTTGCTTTTAGAATTTTTTCATGTATAACTGTAACTATAGAATAATTCCTTTTGATTGCTTCGATATAGATACTTTAGCATTAATTAAGTGGAGCACTTTAACTGTAGCATTATTTAAGTGGAGCACTTTATCTGTAGCATTAATTAAGTGGATCACTTTAACTGTTTTATAGGAAGTGTAAGTTGCATACAAGCGCTAGCTGAATTAATTTTTTTAACGTTTTGTCAATGGTTAATTTACAAATAACAATTAACAATTAAAGTTTTTTCTAAAAGTTAAAAAAGAAAATCTCCAAATCATTAATTATATTATGTTAATTCTTTTTATGTAATTATTATTATAACTTTATGTAAAGAATTAACTTCGCATATTGACAATGCATTTTTTTTCCTGTCTAAAGTTATATTTTAGTAAAACTAAAAAAAAATCCAAAAAATCTAATATTAGGTCTTAAGTCTATTTATAAATTTTTTGTTTTTTTTTGTTTTTTTAAGTTAAAGATTTTTTTGTTAAACATTTATATTTTATTTTAATCAAATTTTTTTTTCAACTTGAAAATTTTGTTGGTTAAGTCAACTAATTTTTTAATTTTTACATGTTCATTCATAGTTCAAATTTTCATAGTTATTGTTTAATAAGTTAAGAAGATATTAATTGCATTAATCCAATCAATTACTAGTAAGGTCACATACTCCTTTTAGAAGCTACTTACTTTTTCTAGTTGTTAATTAATTTTTCTTAAAAGAATTCAACTAATGAAACATATTTAAAATTTTGGATTGAAGAAGCATTTTATATATTTAGAATCCCCGCTTTACGAAAAGTATTTTAAAAATATTTTTCTTAAGTGATACTGATTGATTAGTCTTTCTATGCTTCTTTTTTAATGCTTAGTTTGTGAAATTATGAATTAAAAAATATTCATATTTATATGAAAGGTCTATAGACGCCCATGAAAGGTCTGTAGGCGCCCATGAAACATCTATGGGTGCCCATAGAATGTTTTTTTTCTGTCTGAGATCATCCAGAATTCGGAAAAATTCAAAACGCTTACATGTTAATAGTTGCCATTTAAAATTTTTTAGCAAAAATAAATGCTATAGGAAAATCCTGCGGACGTGTATAGATGTGATGTTTAAGATTATATTTGAAGTTTTGAATGTTTAGTTTTAGTTTTAACTTGTTTAACTATATTTCAAACAAAACATGAACCCTAATAATTTCAAGGCATAAATTAAAAGAAAATAAACTTTTTAGTTTGATAACAATGAACTTGATGAGCCGTGTATCGATGGGAGCCTAAAAGTAATTATTGCTGAAAGGGCATTCACCACTATAGTCGCAATGAAGGGCCCAAATGGGTAAGTGAGATTTTTTTTACGAAAAATCTTTTTTTTTTTTTTTCAACATAAAAATACAACTGAAGAAAAATTTTCACCGTAGCAGAAGATACCGCTGATTAACCATCTAAATTATTGCAACTGTTAAGCAGTGGCAGTTTTAAGGGTGGGAACTGGTATGACCCAACCCCACCCCAAAGAAAATGATTTTCAACTTATAGTCATATTTTCACCACCTCATTTTTTTTTTCACCACCCTCCTCATTTATTTTTTTTCACCACCCTCCTCATTTTTTTCAAAAATCGCCTCTGCTTTTGAAATCAGTGAAAATCGTCTCTACTGTTTAAATCAATATATATCATATATATTCCACAGCAAATAAATAATATTGACTATAAATATGTCTCTAAAGTTTACCGTAACATGGGGTTACTTTAATCCGCTTTATTGCGATTTTTGGTTTAACGATCAACTTTGCTCAATTCAAAAAATTTGTAAATCTTTGAAATCAAATTATGAGTAAAGATACTATCCTTTAAAATTCAAGTTAATTAATTTCTAAAAATTAATTTCTAAAATAGATTAAAAACAGATATAGATAGATTAAAAACAGATATACTTTTTATATTTTCAAAAATAGACCTAATATTACCCTGGGTTGGTGTTTTTTTAAGCCGTGTATACTTGTTATGTTGTTTTGTTTCATTGACTTACAAACTACTTAAGAAAATACCTCCATATTGTTAAAACAAATATTCTATGATCTATATAAAGTAAAATAAAAATTGAGTTAATAAAAAAACTTTGTACATTGTATTGATTTTTTTGTTCTTTAATAATAAAGCAATAACTAATTTGGTTAGTAGGTAACTTCTCTATACGAATATTTAATGTTTAAAAATAAGTTTATCACCTTTAATTTTTTTTTGTTTCTGGGGCGCTTTTAGAACATTTTTGAACGGCAAAAATATCAAATTCTTCTGAGTCAGGAAAGAATCCTTTTTCTAGTAGAGCATTTAATTTCTTTTTGCGCTTTAACATTAAAGATCCAAGGTCTGGATGATTGTCATTTAAATGAGTTTAGACTTAGATCAATAGATAATAAATCCTGCTTTGGCAAACAATTGAGGTTCTTTATCGCAATGAAAAATTCCACACTTAGCAAACCCTGAAATCAAATTTTCACTAGAGGTTTTTTTTATTAGTTTCAGCACTTTTTTTAATTTTTGACACTCCCAAGATGTGAGCCACAAAAGCTGATTCTTCCAAAGCTTTCAAATGTTGTACAATGCCCTGGGTTTTGATAGTGTTTTAGCTTTAGTTTATTTTGGATGGTAATTCTACATATGCCAAACTTTTTAGATACTACTCTCTGGCTCATTTGACCTTTTTTTATAGCAGAAAGGCACTGTTGGAACTTTTTTTGAGAATAATCTACATGTTTTCTGGAGTCCATTCTCCTAGTATACATTCTTGGCATTTTCATAAGCTGGAATATAAATCAATCAATATATTTTACCGACAAAAAAATACTGTTTACAATGTTGTAAAATTGTTACAATACTATTTTTATAAAGGGAAAAAGAAATGAACCTTTTTTGAAGAGACTTTGAAAATGGACTTAAGTGTGGGAACAGTCCAAATAGTACAAGAATAATTATTATAATAATAAATAATATAATAATAAAAAACAGATAAACAACAACTAAATTAACAAATACATATTGTAAATACTATTACTGAAAAGAAATCCTCTCGAGATTTTTTTTTCGCTTTGAGTTTTCTATTATTTTTAAAACAAGCCACTAAGTTGATGCTTACCTTTTGATCTGACGAATTTTTATAAGTAAATGTAATGTTTATGAGTAAATAAAGTTAATAACAAATAAGGCTTATTTTTTTTTTTTTACATTTTTAGTATTTTTTTGAAGAAGAGGTTTGTAGTTTATCAAGTATTTTCCTCCGATATCTTTACAGATGTCCATTAAGTGCAACATTAGGAGGCTGCAATAAATGGTTAGAGTTTGCAGTTAAGAAACAATATAAAATTTTCTTCACAAATAAGTTCTTTACTTAAAAATTTTAATGAAAAAATTGCTTAGATTAATTAAAATGTTAGTTCCTCCAATTTGACAAAAAAATTATCACATACCAGTCACAAAAGCAAATAGAATAAAGACTTTGATTAAGTTGTGCATTAGGTCTACTTTGAGTTGTCCGTAGATAGTTAGCTTTATAAACATAACCAGAGACCATTTGACCAGAGGCACAAAGCATGATTGACTTATCATAACATGTTGTACATGCTATGATAAGTCAATCATGCTAAATTTTTTATACTTATTTTTCGACGGATTTTTTATGTGGTTTTGGATTAATATTATGTATATATATATATATATATATATATATATATATATATATATATATATATATATATATATATATATACATAAACAAACTCATAGACACATATTTACAGCTAAAAATAGATTTGTATTCAAAGTCACCACGCTATTTAAAGTAACCCGTTTACGGTTAACGTTAAACATTAATTGCAAATTTCAAAAAAGTAAACTTGTTTACTCTTTAATGTAACAAATACATAACAAAATTAAAAAAATGAAAACTATTTTTAAATAAACACCCAATTTAAAAATATCCTGATCAGAATTTAATGCTTAAAAAAAGAATAATTAGTTTATTTAAATTTTTTGCGGAATTATATTTTTTGCTCATCTTATTTTACTTTTCAAGGCCAACTTCTGTGAAACCGGAGTTGTTTAAGTATCTTCAGATATTTAAAGGAACAGAAGTTATTTTTGCCGGAAATCACACTTCGATTAACATTTGCTTTTGGAAATCATTTAAAATTATGCTCCCTAGTATACGAAACCAATTGCAAGATCAAGCAAGAAAGTATATTATAACTGGTCATTCAACCGGTGGAGCTATAGCATCTATATTAGCGCTTTATATGAAAGTTCAGGTTTTATATGTTTAATCTAGTTACTTTATTATATTTACTAATTTTTTATTGTTGCTTACTTATTTACTTTTCTTTTTGTCATTCCAACAAACACATTACGTCTAAAAGCTTTTTAGATGTCATTTTATTGTAAATAAACGCTTAACATGACGTCATGAAGCTAAACGCCAAATTTTGATCTTTGTGGCCAGTTTTATAACTAAGAATTTAAAAAGAAGTTTTTGTTTTATATTCATAACCGCTTTATAAACTAAGATTTTTTGTATTTGCTAACCACAAGCGAGTTTTTCTAAGGGTAGTTTTTTTCTTTTTTTAATTGCAATATAACAATTTTTACCTTAACTTAATTTTTAATATAACAATTTTTACCTTTGTATAGTGTTAGTAATACTTAGATATTAAAACTATTTTAACAATTTTTACCTTTGAATAGTGTTAGTAATTTTAACTTTGTATAGTGTTAGTAATACTTAGATATTAAAACTATTGTAAGTATTAACTTTGAATTTAACAAAAGTCCGCTGGTCCTACTTATCTTTTGACTCTTCTTTTACTTTTTTTTTTTGACTCTTCTTTTACTTTTTTTTTTGACTCTTCTTTTACTTAGACCTTACACTTAAAATTTCTCGTTACTAAAACCTATTATTTAAGTTTGTTATATTTAATCTATTAATTAAGTTTGTTATAATTTTGCAGGAAGGAAGAATGTGGGAGAATTCAGGAACGTGCTTAATTACGTTTGGTCAACCTCGAGTTGGAGATGAGTTGTTTGCAAAACTACATGATTCAATGATTGATCCATTTCGAAAACTTCGTTTTATTAATGACAAAGACCCAATACCTCATGTTCCCATATGGAAAACGGCAGTTCATCATTCAAGGTATTTCCTATTAAAAATGTCAAACGTTTGACATTTTAATTTGTTCTTATTATTTTTCTAACCATCCAATTCATTTAACCTAATTCTAGCCAGGTTTAGTTTAAAGACTTCAATACCAATATTTCTAAAATTACAATGGGTTACTTTTAAGAGAATTTGCAAATGCTCTCAACCACATTTTAGTTTTGTGATTAGATCCTGGACATCGTCATACATTGTTGAGTTTGTTAGGTTTTGTAGATTTAGGTTCTATATGTCACTGAAATCACAAACTTTCTTTTACTAAAATAATTACGTGACTAGGAATCCATAAGGCTTTTGCCCCAAATTAGATTGGGACAAAAGTTAAAAAAAAATCTTTAAATTTCAACTTCAAAACTTTAAATATATATTTAAAATTCTGATGTTGGAACTCGTTCTTCGACGATGCTGTGATGTGTGATACTGTGATATGTGATACTGTGATATGTGAACGCAGAAACAGTCAATGCATTCAAGAATTGGCTGGACAATTTCCAGCATAATTACATGTTTCCAGCAATTCTCAGCATAGTTACATGCTACAGTATATATATATATATATATATATATATATATATATATATATATATATATATATATATATATATATATATATATATATATATATATATATATATTCATACATGGTGTATACATGATGTAGAAACAATATACATAAAAAAAACTACTTACCTGATTTAATGATAGGCTGGGCTAAAAACGTTTTTAAAAAGAAATTCTGCATTTTGTCACTGTAAAATTTACAAACCATTTTTTGGAAGAACTAGAGAAGTAAAATGTATTAAGTTTTTAATATTAAAAAAACTTCACACCTCAGCTAAAGTTAAAAAATAGATTGCTTTTTGAGTTATCTCAGGAAAACTCAAAAAAATATATATGGTGAAGGATCAAAAAGAGTTAAATATACTACAGTTTCATATCAGTGGCAAAAATATATATGGTGAAGGATCAAAAAGAGTTAAATATACTACAGTTTCATATCAGTGGCATAATTAAAAAATCAACCTAAACAGATCACTTTGATTAATTTATTAAAAGAATTCAATTAGACTTTCTTTATTCAACAAGATACTGATACAGCTAGCCAAAGTACTAAGGTAAAACAATTTTTTAAAGTATACTATTTATTACTCATTTTAAACAATATAGCTAATCTTGTTTTCAGACAAACTTTATTTTAGATAGAATAACAATTAAAGAAAAAACTTATATGTAGCCATATAACTAGAATATTAATATATATAGCCGGTCTTATTTGTAGCCATAGCACTTGGAGGTTTATCCTCCAAGTGCTATGGCTACATATAAGACCGGCGCAAAGGAAAGATAGGAGGGAGAAGAGAAAGAGGTGATTTCCTCCCCAACCACCTACCTTTATTTAATGAATATTTGCATCATTAGTGGCAATGTGGGACCTTTTTCTAACTTGGCTAAAAAATCTTGCCTCATATGCTTTTAGAAAAGAGTAAAATCTTTTAAAGAAAAGAAGCTTAGATCTTTTGATTATTCAGACCAGCAATACAAAAGATTTTCTCAACTACGTTCAAACCTTATGCTAAAAGATTTTTGCAATGTTATTAATTCTTCATTGATACTTGCCAAAAACAGCAACACTTAGTGGTACATTACCTTTTTCTAACAGAATTGCACCTAATGAGGAGGAAGGGGAGCTTTTCAAAGAAAGAAATGTGGTGGTGAAAATGAAGTTAAAAAATTAAAATTTTCAAAACTTTTTTTGTTATATTGGTATAAAGCTAAAATTTTTTTAACTTTATACCAATATTTTGAAAGAGGGTCAGAACAATGTTATTGCAATGGGAATGTCTCCAAGAAAATATTAAAAAAATATTAAACGTACATGCGTGGATATCTAAATAACTTAAAACCATTGGAAGAGGGACTTTTATGAAGGAATTATAAACAAGTTGGTTAAGTCTTGTTTCGGATAAAAATAACTACATCATGACATTCGAACACATATTACAAACTTTGAGCATCTCTACAGAACACTTGTTAAAAATTATGGAATAACTGTTTCATTGAAAATTCATCTTATTTTAAAACATACAGGTATATTTTATGTAGTAAGAGGTCGTAGACTAGGCTACTACTCTAAGCAAGCTGTTGAAACAATTCATTACAGCTTCCATAATGATTCTAGGAACAGATTTTTAAAAATGTCAGCTCCTTTTCTGAACATTTAAATAAAACAGTTATCATTTTTAACAGAAAAAAGTAAATAATGCAAATGCTCCTGGGAATTAAAATAAAATTTGACTTAATTATAACATTTTTTGTGTTAATTCAACACAAATATATAATAAACTTATATAATATATATATAAAACAAAAATATATAAAATATATCAAACTTGTTTATAAACACTTATCTCAATTGTGAGATACTGTTTATTAACAAATTTATAAACAATGACATTCCATGTCATTACTTATAACAAAATTCCTTGTCATGAATATTAAACAAGGTTATACATTAACTAATTTTCATGACAATGGTGTGTATTTTACAAATGATATATTCACGATGGTCATGATGAATATCGTGAATATATCATTCATATCGTTCATAATTTTACAATTTACAATGAGGCTAATGGTAACGTCACATGTTACTTATGGAATGAAAGCAAAGGAGGTTTAGACGGAGACGAGTTCGCGAGTATGTATTGGACCATGTAACAGCCTTTATCAACTCAAACCCTGACAAGTACGAGGTTGACTCTGTACAGCAATGATTGTTGTTATCAAAACCGAAACGCAGTTATCTCGAATGCCTTGTTAGCCATAGCAATCGAGCATAAGGTCACGATAGAACAGCACTTCTTGGAAAAAGGTCACACCCAAATGGAAGTAGATTCAGTTCATAGTACAATCGAACACCGTTTGAGGAATAAAGAAATTTATTTTCCGACTGAATATGTTGGCGTAAGTCGCGAAGCGTGCGTTAAAAATCCATACTCGGTGAAATATCAAACGCACAACTTCTTTAAACCCTACGCACCGGTTTCTTACTATAAATCAATTAGACCTGGGTTTAAAACTGGTGATCCAGTAGTAACATTCTGGTGTGTACATAATACACATTAGGTGTATTATGTACACACCAGAAGGATATATGTATACATATAGATATGTATATATGTACAAATATATTGAAATACAAGTTATTTTATTCAGATGAATGGCAACCATTGCCTAAGAGACCAGCACGTGGTCCTTTTCTTCCAACTAGACTTTACTTGCAGCCACGTAAACTTTCAAAGATGAAGTTTAATCATCTCCAGGAACTCAAACAAGTTTTGCCCTCATATTGTTTGGAGTTTTATGACAATCTTCCGCATGATTAATTGAGTATTTTGACTTATAATATTAGTTGAGATTACTTTTATTGATGAAGATTGATCAACTGTATTAAAATATTTTTTGATGAGATTGATAATTATTGTCGAGATATTTTTTGATGAGAAATTTGAGCGAGATATTTTTTGAATATTTTTTGATGAGATTGATATTTACTGTTTAATTATCATGATAATTATTGTGTCAACAGTCATAAATGTTTTTGTTATCGTAAAATGTCACGTATAAAACATTGTAAGTTAACATTCGATAAATGGTTAAAAGGATCAACTAAATTACTAAACATTGAAAAAATAGTTTTAATGAGCATTATATTTGTTGTAGACGCGTAATAATTTTGTTAGTTCTGTACATTCACATTTTAGTTGTGTACCTTGCAATAATTGTCTATTCATTTATTTTTATTATCGTAAGTTTACTGTGTTTTAGACTGATTTTAAGTACCGTACGTATTAAATAATTTTACACATTATGGTTTACACATAAAAAATGTTTTATGGAATATTAAATTTTTAATTGAGTATTTAGGTTTCTTACAACTAGTATCAAAACAAGTATCATTTAAATAAAATTAGAGCCCCAACACTAAATTATTTAGCAGGCTGAGCAAATTAAATTGATGAAACGTGCAAAATATAGTCTACACAACTTAGTTAGCTTTTAGTGGAAAAACCTTGTATCTACCAAAAGCTGTCAAAACATAAATTACAAAAACGCCTAACTGCTTTCCTCCAACCCCTAGTGATTATATTTTTTTCAAATTATTTGATATCAGTTAGAGACACGATTTAACAATTAATAGCAAAAGACTATTATATGTAAGAATAAACTTTTTAATCTATTTAGTTTTAATTCTCTCCTGAACATTTATCGAAAAAGCAATTACGAGGTTTTGCAGTTTCACTGACGATATTCATGTGATATATCCGGTATTATGACCCCTCGTTTCGAGTAAAGGCCTTAAATGGTAAAAAATTTTAAACTGTTAATAATAATTTTTTATAAACTTGTTAGAATATAACAATAATAACGAAAAAAAAATTTTCAATGCATTTTGGACTTAAGTTCCTGAACCTAAATACGTGCTACTTTTAGAGTCACTGTGGGACTCTAAAAAGTAAGCATTTTTGTAAACGGAATTTTTTGATTTCAATGACATATAAAACCTAAATAGATTCATTGTGACGAATCCAACGGTATATCACAATGTCCGGGGCCAAATCAAAAAACTAAATAGTGGTTAAGGGCATCTGTGCAATTTACATGTGTGGAATGTACATAGAGCAATTAACACAATTTTTTTACTTTGTTTTTCTTTTTACTGTCTCATTAGTAATTTAAATTTAAAGTTTAATTTAGAGAAATTTGGATGGCGTATGAGCCCATGACAAACAAAAGTTACTGGAAAGTTTGCGGAAACATGGATCCATTAAAATGTAGCAATATGTGGGTTCTTCATACCTCGCCAGAAAATCACGCAATTAAAAGTTACGAAAATTTTATAATGAACCCTCCGTCGGTATTTTTGGATAAATTTTCAACGCGCTACAAACGCTGGCTTGATGCCTTACAAAACTCTTGTGTTGTCAACTATAAAATTGAAAAAATTGAACACAAAGGAATACTTGACATTAATATATGGAAGAAGCAGAGAACTGTATAAATTGAAATTCTACTGAAATTAATGATTAACCTGATCAATGCTATAAAAGTTTGAACGCGCAATGTACAGCAAATTAATCCAGCCATTTTTAAAAATATTTTTAATTAGTCTTTTTTTACAGAAATGTCTTTTTTATTTAGTTTTAATTTTTGGTCAAATTTTATTTTTATTAAAGTTGTTTAATTTTAAAGTTATATTCAATTTTTCTTTACAAAAACATTTTTTTTCCAAAAAGCTTTTTTTTCTCTCTTTATAAAAAGTGTTTTGAAACTTAAATCTATTAGAGATCAATTTCTTTTTTTAAAATGAAGCTTGTTAAAAATACTTAGCTTTGTTACAGAAAAATAATGCTTCTATAAAAATATGTTTAGAATGTTTTAAAACTTTTTCAAATATTTTTTTAGAAACTAATATTTTATTATTCTATCGATAATATGTGGCAATGTACTGGTCTACTAAACAATGGTTGACAATAATTATTCTCGCGCTACGTTTCTTTGTTGATACTAAAGTATGTTCGTAAGTACAGTTAGGCCATTTTATGTTAATGTTATTACACAATCAAAATAAAGCAAATTATAAAATGTATATTTAAACAACAACAACAAAAAAAATTTTTCAGAAATCTTGTTACTTTTGACGATGTTCACAATGCCCTTCAAGCATCGAAGATTGTATATGACAAGAGCGTTGCATTAAAGTTGCCTATACCCTATACGAAGTTTAAGATTAAGCAGTTGTACCAGGTTAAAGATTGTTTACCGTGCTAAAGTGTGAAAACGGCAATAATTTATGTGGTTATCATTGTTTTATTTTTTTTACATGTTTTTTCACAGATGATCTTATAAATTTATAAGGAATTTTTAAATAAAATTTTGGCTTAAATAATTAAGTTATAATATATTTTCAAAATCATAAATATGTCATAAGCTTATTACGTCATAAAAAGTTTTTATGTTGATTACAAAATTTATTTATAAATTTTCAACTAACAACCGTAAATTAAAATTAAAAACGTTTAGATTGATAGTGATGATGATTCTATAGAAGATGGGTTAAAGGTTTTGGTCGCAGAAAAAGATGATGAGTTTACAACGCTTGTTGCTATTAAAGGACCTAACGGGTATGCATAACTTTGAACACGTAAATTATTATACTATGTAATATCTAAATACAGGCAAAGAATATCATATTCTGCTGTAGGTTAATATAATTATCTAACATAATAATGACAGAATTGATCAGTCGGATATTGTCTGGTATTTTCCAAAGTGTAAACCTTTTTAAAGTATTTTTTTTAAAATAGCCATAAACATATAAATTTTTGTTTTGTGCATGAATGCTCTAAAGAATTAAAAATGTTTGTTTTCTTGAACTTATCAGACCATCATGTAATTCATTCATAAGCATTAATAGTGTATTTTCACGTCTATATTTAAACACACTGGCGAAAGAACAGGGGTCGAAAGGCGGAGGGGGAAGTAAATCCCCACCCCCACCCCAATTTTTGGAAAGCTTTTGTTTTTTCCATTCAAATTCTGAATTTAGCTCCCCTAGCTTCCTTAGTTTTCGTTTCAGCAACCTACTTCCCCCTCCTTCCAATTTTCTTGACCTTCCTTCGCCACTGTTTAAAACTTTACTTAATTTACTTTACTAAACTATATGTATTTAAAAAGATTTAAAAACGCTGAATTTTGCAAAAAAGTTAGCCCTTAATAACTATGAGAAAATACATAAGTAGAGAATCACGTAGTAACATGATTAGTGCATTTAAAATAGACAAAGATCTTTTTCTTTTAATATTGCATTTCTTATTTTCTATCATTTTATTTGTTTACTTTTTCTTTTTACAGTTTTTTATCTTTAAGGATAATAGTTTAGTTCTTATTTTGTTAGTTCAAAATTCTTTTCTTTTTTTATTTAATTTTATTTTTCTTTTTTTTCCAAATAGCTGATTTTTTATTTACATTTACAATGTGATGTCGATTTCTTATTTAACTTTTTTTTAAATATTTTTCATCCATACATTATCTCTGTGAGAAAAATGCGTTCGTAGTTTACCTTTAATATAGTGTCGTGCATATTAAATATGCACGATAGTATTTTAAAGGTAAATAGCGGACACATTTTTCTCACAGCGCTAAAAATAGCTAAAGTTAAATAAAAAGAAAAAGAAAAAGTTAAATAAAAAATCGAAATCACATTGTAAATGTAAATGTAAATAAAAAATCAGCTATTTGGAAATATATATGAATATATAAATTTTGTTCATTTTTTATATTGTTGTGTATTTCTGTATATTTTTTATATTGCCACGTATTTCTGAGTCGGTTTTTTTTTTTTTTTACATTTTTTAGTCTTTAAATATCTTTTTTTTATTATATTTTAAATATTTGTTTTTTTATTATTATTTATATATTTTTTTAACTTTTTATTTTTTAAAGTTTTACTACCGTAACACGGGGTTAGTAAAACGTAAGCTTACGTTTTATAAGATAGATTTACCATCTTATAAGATAGTAAAACGTTACTTAACTGTTTAAAAGTTACAGATGTTTTATTAAAATTTTAAAAAACGGCCAAAGTAACACGGATGTAAAAAGTAAAAAGTAATAATATACGGATGTATATTATTACTTTTTCTTGTTGTTTTTTTTTTGATTTTTTATGTTGATGTTGTTGTTGTTTTTTTATAAGTTTATTTTCTTAAGGTGTCACTCCAATTTAATAGTTTTTAACTCTATGAGTTATCCCAAACCTGATTTTGTGAAATTATAAATAAGTTTGTAATATTTTCAGTTTTATGGTTAATAGTTTATAGATTTTCAAATAGTTAATAGATTTTCAAAAGAATTAATCGTACGCAACAATTTATGTTAAAATCAACAAGAAGAAACTTTTCACAACAGAACGTAGAGTAAAGCATTAATATTTTTTGCAGGTTATAATTTTTACCAGGTACTACTTAGTGCAGTTTTCGAAAAACTTTGCTATTTGACATAAGTATGGATATATACAGGGCCAGCGCGAGTAGGTGTCATGACTGACTGGCCAACATTTGCCGACTGATTGACTAAATTTACCGGCTAACTTGTCTAAAGGGTCTACATTTGCCGACGAAATGAACAAAAAAATTGTTGATATAGGGGTGGGGTGTCACACAGCCACCCCCACCCCTCCTGCACCTCACCCCTCCCACCCTCTTCCCCCACCCACCCCCACCCCCCACCCCCACACACACACTATCGCACTGGCCTTAGTTATACAAAAGTTTAGCGTTCAGATCCTAGAAATTAATTTACTCAATATTTTTCAGCCTTCTTTGATCATGATGTTTCAGTCTGGTCTACAAAACTATTCAGAGCAATTTAAAAAATTCCTTATCATAGACAACTAATCTATGAAAATTAGTGAATCCAATTTTTATTAAAAAATGGGTTCCGGAATTTTCGGAATTACATGAAATGAAATTCGGAATTCCGATATAATTCCGGAATTACAAAAAAAATTCGATAGAAAAAAAAAGTTTTAAAGTATTTCAATTTAAATAAAATAATTTTCTTTATATATATTTCAGTAAAACAAAACAAATTCAATAAAAAAAATAAAACAATATTTTAAAACATTTTTTTTTAATTCTGATTTTTAAAAAAGCTTCTTAGCATACACAAATTATCCAATGTCGTATCATTAAGTTTTGACCTGATTTTTGTCGAGAATGTTCCAACGGCAGAAAAAGCTTCAACATTCGTAGGAGGAATACACAACAGATTGTAAATGTCTTCCAAAAGTGGTCCATGCGACCCACTTTCGTCCCAAAATTTAATTTCCTTTCTTATTGCTGAGTGAATTGATGGTTTTTTAAAGTTTTGGGTGTAGAAGCTGACTGCTAGATCTTTGCTCTAGAAATTGCTAGAGAAAAGGTTCAGTTTTACTTACGCAAGGTGCAAATTCAGATTCTATATCAGGATCAGACTCAGAATAAGTTGAACCGAATTCCGGAGAAGTTTCATTATTAAGACGTCGGGCTAGGGTTAGAATAAAGTTATTTATTTCTGTTTTAGAATAAATAGAAATACTCTTATGAATTTTTTTTTCCCTCTATCTCCATTATGCAGATACTGTAAAACATTAGATAAAATAGTTCTTCTTCGGTTAATTTAAATTTTGAGCTCTTTTTTCAATGCAATTCTGCTATCATCATATAAATTTTCTAACATAAACGTAAATGTTGCTGCCGCAGAAATTAAGTTGGCGTCAGCGCGGCATAACGCGTCAACAGCTAATTTTACTGCCATCAAATTTTTCGATGTCTGTGATTCTGTATCCCATTCCGTTTCATATAAAAGTATGTTCGCATTGATATCAATTAGTGCTTTCTTTAATGAAGATTTTAAAAAATTTAAATGATCCAACATGAACAACATGCTGCTCCATCTAGTTTTCGAATCTAACACAAGGTTTAACTCTTTTTTACAATATTGCTTCACTTATTTTTGAAGCACTTTTTTCAAAGGCAAACAACGGAATACTTTAACAACTTTTCGCACTTCAGTGATCAATGCCCTTAGATGGAAATTTTCGGTGGTTTTTATAACATTAGTTTCATTACCCATGTCTACCCGCATTCAATTTTCATCATTCGCGTCATCAGTAAGGTTTTCTTTATCGGATTCAAGATTTAGATCACTTTCACTTTCACTATCATATTCCTCTTCCTCTACTTTATCTTCTGTTTTTTATAAAATAAATTCACTATAGCAATTTAAATTGCATGAGCAAACATAATATTTGTTCACAAGGTAACAATCTACTCACTTTTTGCATTGTTGAGGCACCATCAGTCACAATAAACAAAATATCATTGTGAATATTTAATTTGTAAGTTTCAAGCTTCTTTTTCAACAACTTTATACAACCCTCAGCTGCATATCGGCTTTAATACGAGACAGCTCCAAATATCTTCTTTTTTTGGCAAACAATTTCTGCAATTAATGACTGGCAAATTTTTTTGCTGAAGTCCATTACAAACTTTTGTATACGAGTGGGTGACTTAGGAATATCAAATCCGCGCATTATTAAACATTTTGTTAAATCGTCTAAAGCACAAAAAACGTGAAATTATAATCCGCCTGAGGCAACCATTCAAGATATTACTGCAGCAAAACTTTGGTCTACTTTTGAATCATAAAAATCTTTTAAAGTTTTGCTTTTTTTATTTAAATTAATAGCACTCACAACCAGCAACACTTGAATCGTTATTAAATTTTCGTTTTGTTTCTTGTTTTGTTTTGCTTGCAAATGGGTAAGTATTGATGTCGTACATTCACCCAATATCTTTAAATACCTTTTTAGTATCTTTCCTTTGAAAACTAATTTATAAATCTAGCGTTAGTATTTAAGATATAAGTCTACCGATAAAGCATCTTAGCAAAAAAATATAACGGACTAGACTAAACACTACAACAGGCAAAATCTGTTTATGCATTGGACTTTTTTAATATAAAAGAAGATATGTAATTCAGTAACTTTAAAAAAGAAATTTGGACTCAATAAGTTTGCAACAAAAAACTAATATTTATTAAGATTATAGCAGTTAATTACTTTATTTTTTGAAACAATTTTTAAAACAAAAGCAAAAAGTGTCTATCAAATTAACAAGTTTCAAAGTTTAATGTTTATCTTAAGAAATAAACTTAGGCTTGTTAAACTCCATTTCTAAAAAAAAAAATATTTTATATATAATATATAAATGCAAAGTAAATGTTAAATGCTCTTCCGTGGTGATACGACTTTACAACTTCTTAGAACACTTTTAAGAAAAATATATTTCTATCAAATAAATCAAAAAATATAACAAAAATTAAAGTTAAAACCTATATACAACAAACTAGTGCTAATTGCGAAAAAGTCATCAAAATAACAAAAATATTGAGTTGTGTTTATTGTTTTGAGTTAGTCAACAAAAAGATGTTTTTGACTATAAATATTTTGACTATAAATATTTATATTTCAAATTTGTAATTGTTACAGCAATAAATATTACTATTACTACTATTACTATAATACTAATTTTGGATTTTTTAATAAACTAATAAGATTTCGTTGCAAGTGCTAAAGACATTATAGTAGCAAGTACCAAAGACATAAAGATATATGTCCATGTTAAGTTAATGTCGTTTTAATTCAGCCGAAGTGCAGTTTAAGACAAAGTTTTTTTTTTAATTCAAAACATAAGAAATAAAGTTCCAAATAAACGAAACATTAATGTTGCAAGACCGTACAAAAGTCAATTTTACTGATTTAACAGGAGAGTAAAAAAAAACATAATCAACAGTTTTAAAATATTATTATTTCATTGAGTTCATAATTTTTTAAAAATCAAAATTGTTTTCGGAGTTTATAAATTTTGATTGGTTTTGTTTCATTGCTTCTGTTCAATTTAAGGTTAGGCATGGAATAATTAGCTTTATCAAAGTGCATTCGAAAGAAGAAAAACTCAGTTTTACTTACATTAGCTATTTTAGCTACATTAATTTTTAGATTTGTTTTGCAGACAAGATTAACTTGACATGATTCTTCCCCCTTCTCATTACTTCTTGAAATTTATTTCAAGAAGTATAATAGTTATGAAAATATGAAGCACTAAAAAATTGTTTGGTTTTTATTACTTGTTATAACATTTGTTGCTTGTATTTTTAAATTCTGCTTTTGTTTTTATGGTTACGTTATTTATGCAACAACCTGTATACTGTGGTTGCAATTCGTTTAGACCAGACGCTTTAAAGTATAATGTCTATCAAAAGCTTCAACGATTTGATGGGGTTAAAGTGAAATTCAAAAACGATGAAACCTCTGTCAATGCCTTATTTTGGAAAGCCTTTGAGATGATTAAAAATAATATTGCACCAAAAATGCAAGATCAGTCGCGAAAATATATTTTGACTGGTCATTCTATTGGTGGGGCCATTGCTTCAATTCTTGCCCTGTACCTTAAAAGTAATGTAAGTATTTGTATAGTATATGTAAGTAAATGTTGTTAAAGTAAAAAAACTAAAATGTTTTTGCTTTTTACTTAACAATTCTATTTTGTGGAACTTATGTCGTTTTGTTTTAGTAATTTTATTTAATTTTATTTTAAGACCGCTTTAAAAAACAAAAAACCAACTGTTTATAAAAAAAAAAGTAGAAAAATATTTTATTTTAGTAAAAATTTTAAAAATTAAATTTTTTTAATTTGATTTTTTAATTTAAGTAATTTTGAGTGAACATTCGTCGACTTACTATCTAAAGAAAGATACAGTGTAGTGCAAATGAATCACCAAAGGGTTTTGGCTGGTTACAGGCATTCATTTCATTTAAAAGTTTTTCTCAAAATTTATTTTATATACAGGGACATTATTTTTTATTTTTTTTTTATTTTTGAGGATGAAAATTTAAGTATGTTTAAGTTGTTTTAATTTTTCATTATTACTTTAGATTAAATATTGCTCTCAATATACATGACTAATAATAACTAATCATTAATTTTTGTTAATTTTCATTATAAAAAAGTTTAAATGAAGTTTTGTCTCTGGCATTCAAAATATAATTAGTTGAAAATGAGTTTGTCTAATTGCACGCGCATGCGAATAAACTATAAAAAGTTAATAATAAGTTTTTAGTTAGTCTATTCGAATAACCTAACCTATAAACTAACGAATAAACTGACCCAATAAAAAATAATTGCTATCTAAATTTCAAATAATTCCTAATAATTATCTATATTTTAATCAATTCCTAAAGATTTTATTCAATTAACCATTAGGGTGGCCCGTAAAACAACCTTTTTCAGAAAAACCTGCTCCCACCCCCTAAATGTGTTTTATTTAATAAAAAAACACTAGGTTTAAAATTTTTTTGAATAAAAAATATTTCAAGGAGACCCTCAAGATTCTTGAACATTTAATGGATCCCTAATATTTTCAAAAAAAAAGTTTTTCAAAAATTTGTCAACCTGGTACTCAAATGAAGCGAAATTATTTAAAACTTTCAAAAATTATATTCATTTTGAATAAATTTTAACTTGTTTATCAAAATTATCATAAAAAAACATAAAAAATGCATTTTTTTTTTTATTTTTTGTTAAAAAACGTAATTTTTTAAGTAATAAAACCAAAAACAACAATTTTTTTCAAAATGAATAATGTTTTTGAAATTTTTATATAATTTTGCTTCACTTGAGTAACGCGTTGACATATTTTTGAAAAACTTTTCTTTTGAAAATATTAGGGACCCGTTAAATATTCAAGGACCTTGAGGGTTTCCTTAAAATATTTTTTATTCAAAAAAATTTTAAACCTAGTGTTTTTATATTAGATAGAACACATTTAGGGGTTGGGAGCAGGTTTTTCTCAAAAAAGTTGTTTTAAGGGCCATCCTAATGGCTTATAGACTTAAGTTCCATAGAAGTTAAAAATAACTACGTAGCTACATATCAATGTTTAGTATTTAAAATTTTTGTTCTTACCTTAGCAATTTGCATTTAATTTAACCTAGATTTAGATTTTTAGTATCACATTTATCAGTAACTTTTTTTGCATTGAATAATTGCAAAATATTTGATGTGTTTTTCCAATTTAAAAAAAAATTTTAGTTTTAGCATTTTCTATACTTTTATAAAAATGGTATGTATTTATCTTTTTAACTTGAACATATAATAATGGCATGAGAATGTACACGAGACTGTTATAAGATAGTATCTTGCACAAATCATTTATTATATTGACATAAGATTTATATAATGTGATCAAAAAATAACACCAACAATAACAATGACGAAAAAAATAATAATTTGATAGGCTCTAAACATTTGGTAATTTTTTAAGCGTTTCATGTTACTTAATATTTAGCTCATTCCATAAAATTTAGTTTTTAATAAGCATTAACAATCGAGTGTTACCTTAGACTTAAACCTAAAGAGTGAAAAAAAAGAAATTTTTAGCAATATTATACAGTCATGCCATTTTAAGTTATTTTTTTTATTTGTAGGAAGGGCGGATGTGGGAGAATCCAGAAAGTTGTTTGATTACTTTTGGGCAACCTCGAGTCGGCGATATTCGTTACGCAATATTGCACGATAAACTTATAGATCCATTTAGAAAGTTTAGATTTGTTAACGATTTAGATCCTGCTCCGCACATTCCTTTTTGGCCTGAAGCTGTACACCACTCAAGGTTAAAAACAACCTTTTCATTTTATTTTAAAAGATACCATGTCAAAAAAATTAATATGTATTTTTTAAGACAACATTTATCATTTTCCGAGCAATTTCGATTTGTCTGACATAAACAAACTTTTTTTTTTTTTAGAGAAATATGGATGACATCTGCAATCATGAGCAAAGAGAAATACTGGAAAATATGCGGGGTGATGGAGCCACTACGAGGAAGCAACATGTGGGTACAAAACCCTCAAGTTAACGACCACGATATTAGAGCATACAGAGATTTTATTGTTCACCCCCCATCTGTTTACCTAGATACATTTTATGGACGCCACACAAAATGGATAGATGCTCTAGAAAACTCATGCTCAGGAAACACGACAATAAACTTCTCAAATGATGACCTTATACCTCAATCCTTTTGATTTCGGAACCATTTTGTACGCTTTTAATTTTTTAAATGAATAAAGCATTTGTTAAAAAACCTTTTTTCACTAAATATAAATATTGTTTGATATGATAAATTTTCAAATACAAATGAATTTTAAAAATAAATATAAATACAGTTATAATACAACTTTTATACTTCTGATTTTTTTTTATAATTTTCTTTATGAAGTTAAATGGTTTTAAAAATATATAATCAGTAGTAATATGCAAAAAGTATTTTTTTTCTTTATTTAATTTATTTTTGTTTGTTCAATTTTATATTTGATTGATTTCGATTTACTTAAAAGACTTAAAAGTTCTTTTACCCAATAAACTGATAACAGTCTTTATAAAAAAAGTTTTTTAGTTTCAAATAATATTTCTAACATTTTTATTTCAAAGCGATTTCAATTATTTATGCTTTTAAAGATCCCCGCCCCCCTCTCTGCGTATGTAAGCATTCTTCCTCTCCATCCTTTCTAACGCATTAATTTTTTAAAAAGTTAAAAGCAAAGAAAACTTTTTATATCTTTAAAATATAATATTGATTATCTCGGATCAAATAATTTCGGCGTATTAAGCTATTTTGCTGTTTATAGACAACGGTTGCTTTAGTAATGTTAAAAAATCATGCATATCAATGCACTGCAGTTATATCTATTAAATAATAGTTAAAAAATTGTTTCCAACTTACAAAGTTTTACGTAAAACCTGTTTTACAAAATACTCAAAAATGACAAAATTAGCGACCTAGTATGGTATTTTCGGCACTATGGTACGGTAAATTCGGCATAGTTATAAAAATTAAGAAGTTTGTTCAAAACGCATTAATATATTTAAAATATTATAGACAGCTATAAATCTGGATTGTATAAAGAATTGTCTCTTAAATAGAATTTGTTACACCTAATTGGCACTTAATTAAGGGCGTTTCAGTTGCAAAAACAATAATTTTTGAACCACCTATTTATTTTATTAAAGTATGAATGTCATGTATTTTTAAAGTATGAATGTCACCTTTTTTATTAAAGTATGAATGTCACCCAAAACAGAAACCTTATTAAATATAAATGTGCTTCCAAAGTATAATTGTTAATGAAACGATTACTAATTTCTACTATTTCGATGATTATTTCTAAATTCTGTTTAAATAAGAATTTATGTTTATAAGCTCATAAGTAGTTCATAAAATAATATTTTACATAACTTCAATAGTTAAACTTAAAAAAATAAAAAACAAAACTCAAAGGAAACTTTTTTAACAAGAGATTTATTTAAGAAAGTTAAAACACATTTTATCAATATATGACATATAACTTTTTTTTTAAGAATCAGTGCTTTATACAGTCATCACAAGTAAATACTTTTTTAGTATAAACACCACATATAGCAGCACATGTTTTATGCCACCATCTACAGCATTTAAGGCATTTATCCCAATTATCTTTTAAATAAGGATTGACAGGATCACCATAACTGTATTGATACTTTGCACAAAGTTGTTTATTATTCGCACCTTTAGCATCAAGGTTTTTCAAACATGTCTTTTGATGAGTAGATATACTTTTTTTAATGCACTTTTGATGTGGCTGTCTGTTCTTATATTTCAATTTTAAAGATTCCTCTAGCTGAGATTTATAGCTGAGATTTAACCCTGAACCCTGACTGACAATTTTGAACAGTTGCAGCTTTCCCATATATAATTCACCAACCTCTAGTTCAGTTACGGGACGACCAGGATGGTGACGAAGCCAAGTACTAACCTCCTGATCATAGAATATTTTAGGCTTTTAAAAAACGAATTATCAAGTGGTTGCAGTTTGTGAGAGCAGTGGGATGGAAGTGATAAAATAATAACATTTGAGTGGCGGGCTTTTTTAATAACACTAAGATTTTTTTTATGATATGAATGTCCATCTAAAATTAGAAGAACTGGTTGGTTTCTTGACTGAGGTTGGACTGCTTGTAAAAAATGATCAAAACATATTTCAAACAACTCAGTTGTTATCCAGCCATTTTTGCTGCCACCAGAAATAGAACCTATTGGGGCTTTATCTAAAAATTCAGGTTTCACTCAAATACGTGGATAGATTAACATCGGAGGGACAAATAACCTGCTTTTGCTGATTGGCAACAAACTATTGTGATTGTTTTACCTCTTTCGGAGCTTGTTAAGCCACCAACACTGTGTTTTCCCTTAAGAGCAACAGTTTTTCCTGCTTTATGACAAATAGACAATCCAGATTCATCTACGTTGAATAAGTTTGATGGTGGAATAATCTGCATCATATTAGCATTAAACATTATTTTTTCTAGTTCATCGTAAAAACGATTAACTTTGTTTCTATTAAAACCAATGGCTCGATGCATCGACGTTGACTCAGCAACTCTGACAGAGAGTTCATTATGGCGTTTCAAAAAACCCCTAAACCATTCTTTTCCTGCTGACTTAGTTGCACAATTAAATTTGTGAATAATTCTATTTTCTTCACAAAATTGAAATACCATTTGTTTTACATCTTTTGGAGACATACCAAACAATCTCTTTGACGTGGTCAGAAGAACCTCTACGAGCTCTTTTTCTTGAAAAGCTGAGAGTGTTGTTGGGTGTCCTGCACGTAACTTTTTAACAAAATTATCAACAGGTGCTCGTTTTATATAGTCATGTAGTGTTTGTCTTGGTATTTTATATTGTTTAGCAGCAGAATATTTTGAGCAACCATCAACTAAAACTGCATTTACTGCCAGTTTTAATGATTCTTGTGACCAATTACCATATTTTACACGTTTTGAACTCATTATATGATGCTGTAAAATAATGTTTACATATATATATATATATATATATATATATATATATATATATATATATATATATATATATATATATATATATATATATATATATATATATATATATATATACTCATATAGTGTCGCTTTAAGAGCATTTTAATGTAAATAAAGTCTCTTACGACTACAATTTTAATTACCTCGTCTCTTAAGCTGTTTTTGATTGTCATCGAAATGTCAAAGCAATTAATTTATGCGGAAGTACATTAAATTTAATTGTTTTTTAAAAAAATTTTAAAAAACCGCAATTATAACGACTAGAAAGTTTTTTTTAATTAGTGGTGTTTTTGTTATTGATTTAATAAAAAACATTTTTTAAACATGCGTAAATGTTGCTACATCGACTATCTTATAGCCTGACTCGCAACAGAGTGCTGCTACATCGACTGACAAATAGCCTGACTCGCAACAGAGTGCTGCTATATCGACTGACAAATAGCCTGACTCGCAACGGAGTGCTGCTACATCGACTGACAAATAGCCTGACTCGCAAGGGAATGCTGCTACATCGACTGAACAACTAGCCTGACTCGCAAGGGAGTGTTGCTACAACGACTGACAAATAGCCTGACTTGCAAGAGAGTGCTGCTTCATCGACTGAGGGTTTGGTTTGGCCAGGCAGTCTATCAATTAAAAAAAAAACTTTAATTTTTAAAACTTTTTCTGGTCTAGTTTATTAACGCGCTCTTTAAAACTACAGTTTATGGGAAATATTTTTTGATGCTACGCAAGAGACATGCAAGACTATATATATATATATATATGTATATATATATATATATATATATATATATATATATATATATATATATATATATATATATATATATATATATATATATATATATTATATATATATATATATATATATATATATATATATATATATATATATATATATATATATATATATATATATATATATATATATATATATATATATATATATATATATAGAATAGAATAGAATAGAATAGAAAAGGTGCTGTACACACTTGAGGTGTGTAGAGTCTTAATTACGTAGAATTAAGACTATGACAGCCGATTACAAAAATTAGTGTTCAGAAACCGAAATAATTATCGATACTGTTTTTAAAAATGTTCAAATTATCTTTATCTAATATCCATTGTGGAAGAGAATTCCAATCATTTATAACTCTGTTTGTAAAGAAATGGTGACGAATTCTTGATTTTGTAAATTGTCTGCGTATTCTACAATTGTTACTTCTACTAGATCGCTCCAGCTCAAATTTAAAGGAGGATGGTGAAAATTAACAATATCTTTTCCTTTTGAGATCTTATACATTTGAATCAGATCACCTCTTCTTCTTCTATCAAACAAAGTTGGCAATTCAAGTATCTTTAATCTTTCTTCATACGACTTCCCCCTTAAAGATTCAATTCTCTTAGCCCTGTGTTGCACGATTTCAAGATGGGTGAACATTATCTGGACCTACTGATTTGTACATGTTTAAATTACTCAAATGTTTCTGAATAAGATAAATACTAAAATATGGATCAGAACATTTTGTTAAAAGATTGTCATCTAAAACTTCTTCTGGTGAGTCATCTTGTATAAACACAGAAGCAAAGAATTCATTAAGAGTGTTTACTATCTCTTGATTATCAGTAGTTATAATACCATTATGTAGCTTTATGGCTTTGATCGAGTCTTTAAATCTTGTTTTGTTGTTTATATAAGCATAGACACTTTTAGGATTGCTTTTTGAATTAAGTGCCAAGTTTTTTTCAAAATTGCGAATACTTTTCTTGACAAGTTTTTTTATATCTTTATTTAATTTTTTATACTTACTGACTTCTAAAAGACTTTTAAAACCTGAATTTCTGTTTCTAAACCAACATTTTTTCTTTTCTTTACACATGCTTTTAAGTTCAGTTGTCATCCATAGTGAGTTATTTTTTAGTTGAAAAGAGTTTTTATCTAAATTTAGCGTTGGGATATATTTTTCACATCCTATTTCATATTTTCTTAGCCATTTTTCGTAACATTCATTAACACTTACTCCTTCAAATTCATTTATCCAGTTTATGTTATTAAAATACAAATCTAACGCTTTATAGTTTTCATTTTTCCACAAAAATTTATATATATATATATATATATATATATATATATATATATGTATATATATATATATACATATATATTTATATAAATATATATATTATTATTATTATATGAATATTATTCAATAATATTCAACAGTATGTATATA